ATGAAGAAGACAGCAAGACTCACTCTTAGATGGTTGACTACAACAAATAGGAATAAGAATGGACAAACAGAAGATCGTCAAAATTCACTTATTTTTGTTGATCCAAGTAATGGCCCAATGTATGTTCTCACCGAACAGTCAAAATCATAGTGAAATGTCTTTATAAACAGTAGAGCTTTTTTCTACGAGTTTTGTAGTTACAGACAACACATTTCACTTCAAAAAATCGGAAACATGATTTGTTAGAAAACGATAAGTACGCCCACCTAAAAAAACGCAACAATCAAACTGGAAAACATACACCTATATTCAGTAATCTATTGGGTGTATCTACAAAGTCACCTAATTCTTTTGAGTCTGCTGGAGTCAATCAATAACAAAAAAACAAATGGTTATCATTAACACAACTTCGATAACAAGAAACCAAATGCCATTTTCATATTCTAAAAGAGAGGATATTTGTTACATAACACAAGCAAGCACAATTGACATTAACCTGATGGTGAAAAGCTTGAATTATAAACTTCCACAAATATATGAATCAACATAACTTAAAGTTAAATACCTAATTATCCCATTCTTGTCTCATTAATATAGGAGTAAAACTTGGGCACTGTGGTCAACTGTAATTCCACTTTAGTCTGTTTATTAGAAATGTCACACAGTGGAACAGTATCATTCACTGGATAACGTTTCGAATACAATTTATTGTCCATATTCATATCAGGTGACTCCACAACTTCGAGACAGTTTGTATATTCCTAATTTTCTCTCCTTCTCTGTAATGACGAGGGTAGTAGAATTTTCCATATATCTGGGATAGGCGCAGAATCATTTCGATTGCATGTATTTGGTGTTGATTCGATAAACGAAGATTCGGTTATCAATCTCTTCCTCCACCCAAATAAGTTAGTTTTCAACACTGTCGTCCTATCCCACCCTACTGTGTGTAATTGCGTGCAGTGCTATAGCCGAGCTTTTCTCTAAATTTCTTATCTTATTAGGATCTACTAATCTCGATTTAGCTAAGTTTTCCTACACTATTATTCTAATCAACCCAGGTCGACTACTTTGACCTATGTATTTGACTTCGCAATCATTGCAAGGGATTTGGTAAACAAGATTATTTTACTGAATTGCATCTATAGGATCTTTTAACCTACAAAGCTTGTTTCTAAGCGAGTTTGTTGGTTTGAATACCACTTTAATCCCAGCCTTATTGGGAATTCTTCGTAATGCTTCCTTGTAGGGTAACACAGCAGAGGCTTTGAATTCTCTCTCAATCCTGTTACCATTAGCAGTAGAATTATTATTAATAACACCTGTATTACTGCTACTACTACTGATCATATTTTTCTTTCAAATTCTTATGAATTTATTTATCAATTTTGGTATGTAGTGGGATCACTAATATCCCCTATCGTCGCAGACATATTTATAAATGGTTGGGAACAGATAGCCCTTCAAACATTCAGTCCTACTCCAAAGATATGGTTCCGATACATAGATGATACGTTCACAGTACTGAAATCGGAACATATCAATAGGTTCTTGGCACATAAATTCAATAGTGAATACAATCCAACTTACCTAATACTTAGAAAATAGAGGTGAGCTAGCAATGTTGGATTGCAAGATTAAACGAAAACAAGACGGAAGTTTAAAGACCAGTGTCGATAGGAAACCTACCCTCTTGAATCGCTACTTAGACTTCGAATCCTCTCAGTTAAAGTAGGCTTAGTTAAATGCCTAAGTGATAGGCCGAAAAAGCTCACTAGCAAACCGGAAAATCTATCGCAAGAAATTAGACACATCAAGAGTACTTTGCGTCTCAATAATTACCCAACCAAATTGATAAATAAATTCATAAGAATTTGAAAGAAAAATATGATCAGTAGTAGTAGCAGTAATACAGGTGTTATTAATAATAATTCTACTGCTAATGGTAACAGGATTGAGAGAGAATTCAAAGCCTCTGCTGTGTTACCCTACAAGGAAGCATTACGAAGAATTCCCAATAAGGCTGGGATTAAAGTGGTATTCAAACCAACAAACTCGCTTAGAAACAAGCTTTGTAGGTTAAAAGATCCTATAGATGCAATTCAGTAAAATAATCTTGTTTACCAAATCCCTTGCAATGATTGCGAAGTCAAATACATAGGTCAAAGTAGTCGACCTGGGTTGATTAGAATAATAGTGTAGGAAAACTTAGCTAAATCGAGATTAGTAGATCCTAATAAGATAAGAAATTTAGAGAAAAGCTCGGCTATAGCACTGCACGCAATTACACACAGTAGGGTGGGATAGGACGACAGTGTTGAAAACTAACTTATTTGGGTGGAGGAAGAGATTGATAACCGAATCTTCGTTTATCGAATCAACACCAAATACATGCAATCGAAATGATTCTGCGCCTATCCCAGATATATGGAAAATTCTACTACCCTCGTCATTACAGAGAAGGAGAGAAAATTAGGAATATACAAACTGTCTCGAAGTTGTGGAGTCACCTGATATGAATATGGACAATAAATTGTATTCGAAACGTTATCCAGTGAATGATACTGTTCCACTGTGTGACATTTCTCATAAACAGACCATTTTTGTCTCGTTTATTCTAATTTTTCCATTCTTTACCTGTTGTGATGCTTGGAACGATGGTAAGAGAAACTAAGGCGCCTTTGTGTTGGTTTCTATGTTCATCTAGGGCATACGATTAGGTAGGTACGTGTTCGGATAAGAGAGTATTTGCCAGCTCGGTTCGGAAAGGGTGAAGAGATCAGTCTTAGTGCACCTAGTAGACACAGAATACTATATAAATGGTAATAACGATTTCGATGTCACTCATCGTATTCCATAAACGATGAGACATGTAGCTCACCAATGTCTGCACAACTTAGAGGAGCCTGTTGCAATAAGATTTATCAAACCTGAACTCTGAATTCAGAAAGAACATGTCGAAGTGTTACTTCTCCGTTAGCCTTCATTAAACTTAAGGCTACTCCTACCTTTTTATTCACTATCACATCATTCATCTTCATATGTATCAGCCCAATATTGAAAAATTTAAAGAGAAAAACAGATTTCCTCACAATCGCCAAATCTCACTGTATTTTGAAAATGTATAAGCCCCAAACATAGCTTGATTTCACGCTGTACGATTCCATTTTATAATTGTAGAACTTGAAGAGAATTTATTGAAAAGAATATTTATTTAGTTATCATCAACCAGTACAAATAGCTGAATATAGTTTATGATAATTTCTAATACATTTTAACATAATACCATTTATTCAGTAAAAACGCAAGTAAGTTTCGCACAAGAATGATAACAAGGCAATAAAAGTCTTTTAATTGAAATTAAGTGCTTTTTTGTATCATTACAGTCTCCTCTACATTTGAAAATGTATAAGCTTGTTCATCCCTCTTATAAATATATTCACTAAGCGTCACCTTCACCGGAGAAATATTTTTTTAATAGACCTGAACACCCGACAATTACCTTTTGCGCCTCCTGAGTTCTATTTTTTTCCTAATTCTATGCCTGCCAGTTAGTGTTAAGATTCTTAGTTAACCTATTTTTGTTGACAGTCTTCACGTGTCACATATTCTGTACTTTTTAATCCCTTTTAAAATTTTCTACTGGTGTTTCCACAAGAGATCGTATAAGTTGAGGTACTGTCACCAGTTTCGAGTTCATTTTTTGATAGCTAGGAAACCAGTTTTCTTCGCAACATCTCTGGCTCTTCTATTTTCTTATTTTATACCATAAAACTTGCTCACGATGTTCTTTTTAGCTCCTCTAGACAGATTAAGAATAGGGATGATCGAAATCTAAAAATGTAGGGCAGAGCAAAGATTATGTATCCATTTCGGTGTTGATCAATGCTACTTTTATAAGTTCTCTACTAGTTCGACTTCAGAGGCCATGAAAAAGAAAACCTTGTAGCTAGAGCTTTCAGCAATCAAGAGGAGTGTGATTTTACAACCTGAATAAAGTGAAAAATTATTTTTGATTCGAATACACTTTCAATGTGTTAAACGTTAACTATCAGTCAGTAAATTCAATATTACGAGAAGCGCTTCTTTAATGCCAAAATGTTATTTATAAGAGCATTCTTAAAAACTTTTGTCAACCTGCATTCATCATTCAGAGTGCCCAAATAAAGTTTACTTTTGAAGGATAAACGCATATTTTGTCTCAGCTATGTTACAATATCAATTAAGAATATTAAACCTGTTTTTCCCTTCATTTAACGGCCTTCTCCGATGGTTTATATGTACCGTAAGTATATATCGTACACATATGGTATGATCACTTTGTTAGACTTATAGATGATTCCAATCAATTCAGAGGATTTAAAGAGCTGCGCAAATTAAGACATATACCTAGCAAATTACTGCCACTTAAAGATAAGAAATTTCCTGTTAGGAATTAACTGACTAATGTCCAACAAATATGAACATCCCAAATTACTTAAAGTTATGTACTCAGTTTTCACAGGCCGTTTTCAATTTCACCAGTGATATCAAGTTTCTAAGCACCTATATATAAAGAGAGTGCTCCCGAGAATGAAATATGGGTATTAACTATCTGGACAAAATAAACAAGAACTCCTACGAGTAGTTGTTTACGGTTACATAATCCTGCTACTGATTAGGTAAAAGATAGAATTTCGGACGGATTGCAATAGTCATTTTCGATTCTACTTGTTATACTAACGTTAATTTCTTCTTCTATTGTCTGTACCATTGTAGAGAGCTTAGAAGTGACGCCAACTAATAGTTTTGATAAACTATGGGCTGTCTCATGTTCATCAGTAACCTATTCAATAAGAATTCCACTCTTTATGATTTGTTTGATGAATGAGTTGTGTGTAGCTTATGTAAACCAAGTTTTACAGAGTAGACGTGAGAAAGAGACAGAAAGTGATTGTCGACAAAACATGAAACACTATGGAGACTAGTGAATGATATTTCACACTGTATCGTCAAATAAAGAATACTAGATTATACCTTCATAACACAGTTTTCAAGCTACGTTTATTGGGAAACTGTACTGACTAGCTAATGAGTATCTTGATTTTGTTTAGTGGTTGAGAAAATGTGCTTGAAATTTAATACACCTTTATATAATTTATCCAAGTGATGCGAATTCCTATGATCACAGTATACATACTTTTGGTTCAATAAAGTCATTAAAATGTTATCGAAATTAGAAACCGTAAAGAAATTACACAAATAACAAATATTAAAAATGTACACGTTCTTAAAAGCATTTTCAAAGGCAATTAATTCGGTTCTTCATCAAAACATCGAGTAAATAAGCGGTTTTTGAAGGTATATAAATTTAGTGAATCACTGACTATTCACATAATTTATTGTACATTGCTCTATGAACATGGCACATTATTTTTCAATGCAAGAGTAGACAGCACGAATTAAAGAATTCAGAATAGGATCACTAATAATCGATCGTCCATGAGCATGATTTGTGACATAAGCCCAGGTTAATTGCTTCTTTGGATCAATGAAAACTCCTTGACCGAGAATATCATCCCACATTCCGAACATTAAGGTGTCCTGTACAAAAGGAAGCATTTATGCACTTGAGAAATATATCATAAAACAGAGTTATTAATTACTTACGTAAACTGTTAAATATACATAGAAATTAGTGATTGAAAAAGCAACGAGAAGGGGGGGGGGATAGATAATCTTTTGTCTGGATGCTTGTAAACAGTATTAAATTTTATTATTTTATTAAATTAGTCTCATCTGCATGATAAAGACGGAATGCTGAGGTATTTACAAAAGAAAAAGTCATGTGGAAAGTTTATATGCAAACTTCACGAATCAAAATGGTATATTAATAGTTTTGTGAGAATGCGTTATAAATGTATCTTTAGTGAGTTAGCCAACTAGTTGACATGTAAAATACTCTCCACAAAAATGCAGAACTGCTCATATAAGCATCTTAATAGCATTGCCATTGGCAACACGAAATAGAAATGACACAACGTAGGAGACTGCACAGAGTTTGGAGTACTATTTCACTAATTTTGAACTACTCATTGGGTATAGTAATGGTAACATCATGCAGACATTTTCTCAAGCAACGTAATAAGGCATTTGGTTAGGTATACAAAGTCGCACAAATAATTTGCATAATGGTCAAGTATATCTAAGAGATGGCTTTAAAAATCTCTAGCAAGTGTAATTAAATGAAGCAGCTAAACAGCTTGCACAAAGACTTCTGCTCTCTTACAAAGGTCAATCTTTAAAAGCCCCAATGAAAACAGATAGAAGATTGTAACACCTACACAATCCTATCTGGGCAACACTGTTTATGTTGTTGACATTAAATCAGCCTTCTCAGTAATTGATAAGGTAACACAACCATATAACACAAGTGGTACGGATTTTTTTCTACAAGGAGCTGAGGTCATCAAAATAATGAAACCACAGTTATGCATTGCGAAAAAGTTGGAACAAAATCTTGTTCTTTCATGACCGTCCTTAGAATTGACATCATTCAGTTACAAATCGCCACAATGAATTGCGTATGATTATATGAACTCTTCTCCATGTATATGCGATCTTATGAATGTTTATGTGTAGAAATATTTTTTTCCTGCTTCCACCAACTCTTCACGAATCACCATTCACTTGTTTTAAATGAATGGTTGTTGTACGCGCTAAACCTTCTACCCATGACTACGAGAACATATTTAAAATAAACCGATAAGAATTTATCATCAAAAATTGACCAAATGTTCTGTCAACTATCACTTTTCAAACTCATGCAATCAATTTATGTGTATATGTTGTAAAATATCATATTTAAAGGTTGAGTTTGACGAGAATTTAACAAAAATACGTATTTGCTCAGATTCTCATCGTTCCAGTAATATAATGAAGACGATAAATACCAGCTTTAAAAAAAAAAAGAACTAGTACTCATTGGTGACTAGCTTCGAGAGGTGATTCCCGAAGTTCCAGTGAGAAGTCGTGACCAGTAGGGCGAACCTGGTGGCCGTGAGGACAAATACTCAACGATGACATTGGGTTATGGTCGCGTTATGTCATGAACTGACAGAAGTTGGAAATATGGACCATTGGATTCCGACCCAGGGGCTTAATGTCAGCGTGCTGGTCACGGAACATGAAGGTCGCGAGTTCGACCCCTGGTGGGGTCGTGGGTGCGCACTGCTGATGAGTCCCATATTAGGATGAAACAGCTGTCCAGTGCTCCCAGGTTTCCAATGTTCTTCCAATTGATGTCGGTCCACGATGAATACCAACTTAAGAAAAAATTGTATGAAACTGATTATTAAGATTAAAACAGTAACCCGGGTTGTGGTATGATTCAAAACAGCAATATGCAAATTACCAACTCAGTACCCTTGTTGATGTTTTAAAATATTCACATTTCTTTATTTGATGTTGACACTATAAATGCGTGTCTATTCGTTTGTACCGTATTTTACTGATACCTGACTTGTGGCGTTTCTCGATTTGAACAGTGTTATGAATATATACTCCATTATCTTCACCTACCTCTTGTGTCTTTACTTTGTCTGACACTGGTAGATCAATAGCGTTAAAAGGGCTAAGGTTACGTGAAGGTGAGCTTCAGCTTGCATACACATTATTGGAGTCAAGTGAACATATGAACAAATGAACAGATAAATCCTAAGATGGATTGCTGACCGAATGATAACTGATGTAGCTTTTAAGCCTAAAATGCTCAAAATCAATCGAATTTCACAGTAATTATTTTATTTAATGTAACTCAATGATCTGATACAGGCTCACATACTAGGCTGTGTTGCATTTAATATGTGACGACTTATAAGACTAACCAACTCTCTAGATTGAAGTAGGTAGAGTGGGGTTCGACCTTATGCTGTATCTCCATAATTCCGTAGATCAAGCTTGCAATGTCGCTCTTAAACTAGATGGTAAGGCACTAAGACGTGTCGTTTATTGCTGTGAGTGAGTCGGTGGAGATCCTTGCAGGGCTTTGAAGACAAACCTTCCTAAATAAAGTGTAATGTTGATTTATCCAGTTAATCTTTAAATTTACTATTTCCAATGTATTATTTATTCGAATAATTCCTATAATTTATACGCAGCCTCATTAGATAGTGCTTCCAGGAGACAATTTCTAACATGTCTAGGTTCCCAGTCAAAAATTCCACTCTACAAGTTATTAACTTATGGGAATGGTTTTACTATACTAAAGTTTCCTCCCTTCGACCCTTATTCGAAACAGCACTTTGAGAAGAAGCAATTAGGAGCTCACCAAGCATAATACATTTCAACCACCGATATCACCCTAAATTCAAACTTATCAACTGAATTGCCTATTCAATTCGAAGCAAGCCACTTCGGTGACTACGTCATAAACAGCTAACACTTCAGAGAAACCCCTGACCTATTACTACGAATCTGCAAACATTTTTCAAAGGTGCATAATATGAGAGATTGAAATACTACATTATATGCATTTCGGTATCTTGACACTGTCGGAAGCATCCCCAATTGCTTATTGACAGTTAAGCTTCCCATATTTTCCAAGTAGATGGTATCTAATAAAACAAGATCGGCTTCATCCAGCATTACGTGTTGCAATGTTTACGATAACATTGGATATAATTGCTGAAAATAAACACATTTGGAGAACAGTGACTGCTATGAGTAGAAAAGATTAATTGAAAACGCCCAGAAAAGTTAAAGTTGAGCACCACTCAGAACTGATGTATGCATAATTTTTCTGAAAGTGACGCCATCTTTGTTCAGTTAGAAACGATTTTAGCTGAGGTGACATTTCTATCGTGACTACACGAGAGTATTTATCATCAAGACTGGTCCTAAAAAACAACATACGGTATGTAAACTTTAAGAAATACCCCAGTCGACTTGAGTAATTCTAAGTTTTTCACTCCACCACTTCTGAAGACAATCAGGACTTGTAGCGTTGTTCAGGTTTGCTACACAAAACAACTCCAGTAGGAGTTAGAAGGTTAATATCACCACAGTATTCCAGTTGGATGGTGAGTAGTTGAAAGGGTGAACTCTCCGTTAAACACTAAAGCCATGCAACTTAGAAGTCTATCACTAATTCATCTGTCAAGAGTGACCATCGAATTTTCCAATATTTTTCAACACCAAAGATTATGTATCAGTACTGGGTATTCTTTTTAATGCTCTCTCTCTCTCTCCGTATATATATATATATATATATATATATATATATATATATATATATATATATATATATATATATATATATATATATATATATATATATATATATATATATAACCAAATTTGTCAAAGCGTGGAGATGGATCTCAGAATTCGCATCAGAATTATCAATAAAATAAATAGTACCTGTGGTGAGTTGGTGATCATGAAGCCTGCAGAAGTCAATTTCAAATCTCGGTGGAGAACTGGATCGTAAGAAGAAGTATTTAGAACTTGTAGCATCCATTCTCGTACTGGTTTCTTAAAAGCAAAAGGACGATTGTGAGGTGAGGTTTTATCCTCCGAGTTTTCCAGAAGAGTGAACAGACGAGCTAAATTGCGTGCATTCGTGAAAAGATGTGTTGAGGCCAGCGGAACTTCAAGCAAATCAGGATTCCAATTATAGTAGATCTACACAAGAATTCAAGTAGAACAATTACGAATAATCGGATAGTGTGTTGCACAAAAGAAAGAGCTAGGCTGCAAATAAACAGGACGAAAACTAAGTGAAAAGAGCACAAACAAAATAAGAGCCAACTTGTCAGAACAAACGGATCAATTCGGTCTTGAAACTTAATGACAGGAAGTTCCAAACTCTTATAACAACTAGCAGTTGAAGAATAAGTGATCACACTGACTCAGTAGCCTAATAACGCCTTGACATAATAAGGCGTTGGGACCAGTATTCATTTTTCAGTAGGAGCACAAACGCTAAGACGCCCAGTACACATATATGACAAGTACTAAACAGAAAGAAATACGAGCTCTGAATTTCACTGTTAGGTAACTGAATAATATATAGGAGAGTGACAGTGTTTGACATTCAAGGAGCCAAGAAAGTTAAATGTAACAGTGCACTAACACTGATTTGTTTTAGTCACGTCACCTAGGTTTCTTAACAACCGATACGACTCATGATGTCTACAAAATTCAAACTAGCAGTTAATAACTTCATGTTTCGGTTTGGTTCACCTAAACTCCATGTCACTGATTCTCCCCGAATTAACTTTAAAGTAGCATTATATGTAAGATAGGAATCTGACCTGATGGTGATAAGAATAACTGGATGTAGACGAAAGTTATTATTGGGACAATGACGAGGTAAAAGTCATGTTTCTATCAGTCACCGATTAACAGCACAGAGATTATGTGATAACAATAGGGTATCTAGCCATTTATAATGGAATATTTTAATCAGTTGTACATTCTACACTTTGAGTCATTTACTGAAGTTCAGAAATGTTGGTGTACCCACCAATCATTACCGTAATTCCATACACTGATTCAAGTCAACCCAAAACATCCTAGTACGCTTCAGAAAGTAATAAATTAAACTATGAATTGACCAGACCTTTTGAACAAATCACGATTCTTACATGTAGGATAATCTTTGTGAATGAGCTGTCAACAGCCTAGAGATCGTCAGGGTGACCTTTGGGAGTGACTTTAAAGGCTACCCTAACATCTACTGAAATGGCAAATTAATTATCCATATTTTGGGTAAGAAGGTAGTTTTTAGTGAAATAGAAGAACCTACTTTGCTATTTCAATAGCTGCTGGGGTGATCTTTAAAGTACTCGGCCTATACGGTGACTCGTAATTTTATAGGCCATCCTAGAAATTGCCGAAATAACCACTTAGTTTTTCCTACTTTGGCTGTAAAATATAGTTTTTTTCATGCATATTTCGGTGGTAGTTAGAGTGGGCGTTCAAGTCACTCGATTAAATCTCATATATATATGCATGCCTTGTCACATACACGATAATTTGCACACACGATGAGTTACACGATATCCCCTCACCCACCACACTTCGCACAATAGAAAGAAGTATGACGCTTACTTCCCCCATATTTTCGCAAACTGATTCATCCATAAATACAACGGAATTTCATGTTAATGACGGGGTGACTCGGAAGGCCACTCTAGCAACGATTGAAATAGCCAATTAGGTTCCTTTTTGTTCGAAAGATAGATTTTAATAAAGAAGTCAAACTGGTTGTTTCAGTTGTCGCGATACAGCCTTTAGAGTCACTCCTAGACCATAAGTTATGGAAATGAAAAGACTGACTTCATGCATAGAAAACTGAATAATACACAATGACTCACTGCTCAAAATGCAATTATTATAGGACCATAAGTCGTACAGAAGTGAGTTAGGGGTCAAACAAAAGCTCTTAAGTCGAACCATACAATTATGCTGTCAATTAAGTCTTCAGTAAAATATCTTATAAATTAAAATAATACGAACAGTCACACTTATCTGAGATTCATGACTTCCCGTCTTTGACCAGCACAACATACAAGTTGTACTTGTTTGAAATGAGCAGATTATAAGCTTCGAATGCACCATAAGGCATGCAGTCTTAGCACCTTTTTTAAATGTTTCGTCAAAATATTAGCTAACGAAAGGTTACGTTCGTGTGATCACGGAAATTACAACTATACAGCGTGCCTGTAAAATAGCACTTATCAAAATTTCCCTACAAGGTTTTGAAGTTTCTCCTATCTGTGTTTGAGATAACAGATATTATTTTAGGCTAGAATGAAAGAAAACAGTATACTTCGTACTTTTGTGGACCATATGTATAAAAATAGTTTAGTTGTGCTAGAGATTTTTAGCTTAAGATGACGATCAATAAAGTCTGAATTAAATGGTCGATTATCTCACATCTCACTTTTTCAAAATTGGAAGTTCTCATACACCAGACTGTAGATGGAAATCAAGCTGATAAGTTGGCTATGGACAGAAATGCATTTGGTTAGTGGATGAATTATTTGTAATATTGGATAAAAGAGACTTTTTAATCCAATTATCATATTTTTGAATAGTCTGTAACTCTCATTACACAAATAAACTGGATCCATCTTAATGCGCATAGTGATAATCCTTAAGCATGAACGATACACCCCTAAAAGTTATTTAATTCACAATCATGCCCACTGGACTGTATTTTTATGGTATTCTAGTCAAAAGTATGTTCATAATTATCTGAAGGGGCTGATATGAGTGCCAATGAATGTGTAATGCTTTTTTACTGACAAATACTGTTCCTGTATGAATCTGTGGAAATGGAAAGCACTTGATTTAGCAAAACTGTTAGCAATTTATACGAGTGGTTAGACTTCGCATTCTTGTTCGGTATAAGATACTACAGTTTACAAAATGGTTTGAAGTGATTATATCGATTCATGAGAAGCATTTATTGCATACTGTTCATTCGGGCAACCTCCCCGTTATTACTTATCAGACGAAAGTATCTAAAGCTCTAAAGGTATTTATGTTCCCACGTATATTTGAACAAGTAACCAATAGTGCTGAAATCAGAAACTTTCTTAATAAGCTACTGAAAGTCACAAATAGTCTCCTTTCCCCATGGGACTATATTCAAACTTTAATGCCAAGTGGCTCCTAAAATCTGTTATTTTCCCTCTAAACGGTTTTGAGTAACAGCAACTAATCTCCAATTTTATATTAGTTCCTTATGTAGGCTACATAGGCCTCCATATTTATACAAAAAATCCAGACATCTGAACCATTTGTTTGTGAGACAATTGGTAATTTTACAGTCAACGTAAAGACATAAGTTACTACCGTATAACTAAACTTTTCGCGATTACCAGACCACAGCAACGTAAGGTAATCAGTTAGAATGAAACCTTTGTCACTTTTTTTAGTTCTTTTAAAAATCGACATATGAATTAATGCAACATAAAGCTGTTTGTACACTGAAAAGTAGCTAGAATGAAATTCGTAATAACAACCCACTCAAAACTAAAGATAACCACCCACCTCATAATCACTAAACACATTTAATGCCATATTTCTCTCCTTTGAATAAGGGAGCCACTTAGAAGTAACTAGGTTTGTCCAAGCATATTTAAAATCTAAGTACAAAGCAGCATACAATACACTGTTAGCGCTAGCGTGATAAGTTCTAGCAGCACGATAAAGTTGAGTACGTGGAATCCCGATAAGCATATCTAAACCTGAAGAGAAATATGGTAAGAATAGTTGAGGAGAGCCATTAGGAGATAAACATCTTTAAAACCAAAACTCTGAATAAGAGAAATAAATCACGTCAAAATATACACAAACATAATTATTACTTAGCATGATGAACAGAAAGTTGTTGTCAATACTTACCAAGAGGCCATGCAATTTCTTCCATAAAATAACGAGCTAAGGTTCGCCTTTTTTGATCGATTCTGCGTACAATTGCATCAGATAGTAAGGCCAATGAGTGTAAGTGAAACATTTGAGTTTCTTCAAGGAGGTTAAAAATACTGACTAGGCTTACTTGGTATGGCAGGTGGTATCTGATTGATAATATCATGTAATGCATTTCTGTGATCATCTCGCCACTTAGCTAAAGATAAATTACCCATAAAATATGGAAATCCGGACTTTTAATATTAGCAAGCTTGACATAATACCTGGTGTGTGAGTAAGTCTGATACTGTGATATTCGGAACCAAAAACTGTGGAAGATAGTGCTGAATAGAAGATTCAATACTCAACAATCCACTACAAAAAAAGTGAGAAACACAGTGCCCCTACTCTTGATACAACTTGGCAAACGTGAATGGCACAACAACCATAGAAACAGTAAACAACTGACTTATAGTTGACGGCAACCATGGCAACTGGAAGCGTTTATCCACATATCCTCCGACAATATCGACAACATGTTCTCCATGATAATAAACAGAAAAGGAAGATCCAAGTTCTTTGTTTTTCTGTATTTGATTTCTGGAATATACAAACGCCCCTTCCACTTACTTATAAACATGAACTGCATGTTTGAACGGTTCAGAACTTGATCCATGCATGTTTGGTTGAAGATAATATACAAATGAATATAAATATCCAAGCGTAAGGTATGTCATCCCCAAAACAATCGCAAATCGGACTGAGAACAGCATCTGACACACGAAAAATACCATAAGACAGTTAACATAAGAAACGTAATGAAGTGTAGGCAAATGAATTTTAAATCAGAAGTACTTGGAAGATTTTAATAAATTTTGCACATAACAATTACAAAATCCAAAACAGAATTCTTGAAAAAGAACCAGTTAACTTGTGGCAATAATCTTTCTCTTTCCTGAAAAAACAACATATCGTAATCTCCGCTTCAATGCACTTAAACCCTATGGCACATCTAGGAAGCAGCTATAAATAACCTCTATCAAAAGCAATAACAAGTGGACATGATGTTATACTATCGATACAAAAAAATGAGGAATATACAAACTTATACGAAACTAAACTGCAGGTTACCACACTTGTGAACATGTGAGAAATCAAGAATAAATCTCAGAAGGAAGCAGAACTGCATGAGTAGAGTAACCGTAATAAAGTATACAATATGTACATGGCAGAGGTTTTTAGCTCAGAAAGATGATTTTCGTATGGCTAAATCTCTGAGTTACATCGTCTAGTTAGGAAACAGAGATAATTTCTCTAGATAACAAAAGCTTCAGAGAGAACAATATAGAAAAAAAACCATATAGAGTAGAAGATTTAACATATAAAGAACATAAAAGGAGAGGGAACAAATGAGGTGATGCAGAATACGCTGAAAATATTATGAATTTACTAGGTAAACAAAGAGAACAGTTTAGGCCATCATATCACAGACAGTTATCCCTGACCTGTAGTATTGAAGTCACGGTATAAAATATGTAAGTAAATAGATCATTAGTTGAAGCAAATATTTATGGAGAGTTTGGAACAATTGATCTCCGAAGCACTCAGAACTACTTTAAAAGCTTGGGGAACGAACATACGCAAGCTGCATACCAGCATTGAAGTTAAAATATATTCACAGGTTTTTCACATGTAAAACGAAAAGTAGGTGGGGTAGAAATTGGCTATGCTAGATCATAAAACAAAATGTGATTTAGGTATCGGTGTCAACAAGAAATAAACACATCCATATAGACTTTAAGTCATCTCCATTCGGTTAAGGTTGGTTCAGTATAATGTTTCAGTAACTGAGGGTGGATCATAAAATAAAAATTACTGAATAAACCTCATTGATCAACATCTATGGTCTGCCATTTATTCATTACTTTGCAAAGATTCATAGAAAGATAAGGTAGTTACACGAGTGACGACAGCAACACAACTACGCTATGGTGAGGGTCCTAGGGTGAAGTAATAGTTCCGGTTGGATGCAGTTTGAGAGCAGCAAGCTATTTCCAACGGATGACCAGCAGTATTATGCTGATGCTGCCTTTTCGGTGGGAAGGGAGCCTTAGAAAAAAAGATGCTCACCAAAACAGCACAATTCGCTGTGCCCTACAGTTATCCGGTGCCGGCGGTATGAGTTTTTCTTATCCAGTGTTGAGACAGCCAAAACGCAAATCAACAATTTCCAAAAGGCTGTGACAGGCCACAAGTAGATATCCCATGGAGTCGGCGGTCACAAGTATTTTTCTGTTTCAGGTAACTTTCAGAAACAACTTCCACAGTGTAGGAAGCCGGGGAAAAGGCAACTGTCCGCGTGCCTCCAGTAGAATACAAAATCCAATCAAAAATAAAACATCCTCCTTAACTGTCGCCTCCTTCAATTTAACCTCCTGATGCCAATATTAAGCCTCTTACAACTTCCACAACCTCGCACTCAGAGTCCACTGCCAACAGTCGAAACCACTAAAACCTCATTACTAGTCTCCCAAGACCCTGCCATCGATTTCATGTGGGAGCTTTCAACACACTGACCCTATGCCAAATCGGACAGCAGGAATCGCTTACCAGAAATCTGGAGTCATGGATTCATGGTGTTTCTGAGACACGTGTAAAAGACCCCACTGTGATCACTAACTTGACCTTACCTGGATATTGTGGCAAGTCTTCAAACTGCCTTACGAGTATCCTGAGACTCAGTGCATATTTCTTGTGGGCTCACTAGTGTAGGCGTAGCATGAAGTTATAGAGCAGAAAACATACTTCTCGACTGGATACTAGTCAACAGCTGTCTATGTGCTGTTCGACTAAATGGATCTGTAAAAACGAAATGTCGGGAGACTATCTGATGTATATTTGTAGTCTCCGCCTACGCACCCACCGACTGCGGTTCAGATGACACACAGTAAGACTTCTATAAGAAGCTGGCAATTTTGCTACAGAAGGTTAAACGTTCAGATAGTCATACTAGAGCATGACTTTAACGCTAAGTTAAGAAGCTGAGTAAATCGAAAATTCATCTTGGAGGTATCTACAGAATCCTATGCCAACGAATCGACAACGGTGATCGTCTCTTGCAATTTTGTTCTGACAACCACTTGCTTCTCGCTAGCACTAACTTCAACCATAAGGAGAAACACTGTTTTACATGGCGTCCGCCAACATCAAACCAATGATGGACACAGATAGATCACATTGCTGTAAGCCACCGTTGGAGTGGATTGGCGGAAGATTGCCGCTCTTCCTGAAGTATCTGTTTGGACCCCGACCACACGCTAGTACGGGCACCTATGTGTCTGCACCTCACTGGTCGCAGAAAACAGGAGGTAGTTTAGCGTGTTTACGCTCAAACACAAAATACGTACTTAGGGAGGAGATAGCTAGGCATTTATCTGAACGTGACAGCAATGCTCATCCTGAGGAAATATGGTGTGATATTCAGTCTGCTGTTTAAACACGTAAATATATTTGGTAACCTACATCCTAAGGTTAGCGAACATCACTGGAATTCCGCAACGTCATCTGAACTGATTGATGTGAGAAGACTCACTTCAGCTCAGTCTGACCACAACAAAAAGCAACAGTAACTTACGGGTAAACTGATCAAAAGTTTTCACAACGACCGCTAGCAGTGGTGGATGACAGAAACGAGGTAGATGGGAAAGGTATTAACTTTAGGTTACACTCGGCAAATATTTAGGCTTGGTAAGGATACCTGTAGGAAGAAAATGACGGTGAGTGAAACCAACGAAAAGGATGGAACTCAGATAATCTCCCAGGACAGTAGGTCGCCTGGGATCTTCTAAACGCGTTGAGCGGAAATTTGAGTATGTTTGGCATGCGTATCACTTGTCAAGTGTAAGATGATTCCTCAGGACTGGTCTGCAACTGCTCCCAGTTTATGGACAGGGAGTGGTGGGGGAATGCGTCGACCACTTCACTCATTCGGGGAGTTGCATAAGCACCAACGGGTTTGTTCCTGACAAAATCTCAGCTCGGATACAGAAGGCCTGCTTACCACTTGGCAACTTGCATCATCTCTTGGACCGACTGGCAAGATATCCGACTACCCACTAAATAACGTGTATGCTGGGGTGCAGTCTGTTTTGTCCTGTTATGCGGGTGAGAGGAATTACAGTTAAAAGTATAAGAAATGAAGCAGATGTAAGTTTTTGATAATTGGTGTCTTCGTAGCATTGCTCGCGTATGCTGGAATCCCCATGTCACCAATGTACAAGTCAGGCGAAAAGAACAAGGCAAGGAGAACAAGTCAGTTAAAGAAGTTAACTTTTAGCAACTGTAGTGGCTGCGACGTGTTGCGCTTGATAAGAAACCACCTACCTTGACGTGCCATACTAGAAGTCAAATTAGGTTGAGAGAAGGTTCAGGATGACCAGACCTAGATTTGCCATCAACCAACAGTTTCTGTTGATCTGAGCCACGTAGAGAGATGTAGACCACCTGGTTGGGTTCTAGGAGACGATATGAATCAGTGCTTGAGGACTCTTGGTGATACGGCTGAAAGTGGGTCACAGTGGGGTAGATGTATCCACTCGTTGATATCTAAAACTTGAATGTTTGCACTAGCCTTTATCTTCAAGCTGCTTATTCTCTCACAGAACTTTGTTTACTTTGATAATCACTTTTATCTACCCACTTTTTCTTTGTATACTACTGTGAAGTGTGGCAAGTTGAACCTATGTACTTGTGTGCGACGTTCTACGTTGATTTTGTAGTCTTGTTGTGGATTCGAAAATTGTAAAGTGTGGCCATATTCTGAAAGTATATCAAACGTCTTACATAGAATTCTTAACAAGGATAGGATTAGGGTAGAACTTAAACCAGCAAAATCACCCAAGGACCAAATTTATTGTCTCAAGAATACCACTAGTTTTATGAATTTGCATAATTTAATACACCAAATCCCTAGTAACGGCATTGAGATCAAGGTGAATAAGTTAAAATGAGCAGGTTGAGATCAGTCATGTTGTAAGTGTACAAGAGTGCAGTTATATGGGAAACAGGTCATCGTAAGCTAAGTAACACAAAAGACTAGATATTATGCATACAAGGACTACCACACATTAGGGTAAGTTTCCCAGAGACAAACATAGGTAGGTGGAGCCATAAAGGGTTGATGAAAAAGTACTTTCCAGGCTGGTATTCCTCATGAACTGACATCAGTTGGAAGAACATAGGAAACCTGGGGAGCACTGGATAGCTGTTTGGTCCCAATGTGGGACTTCTCAGCAGTACCTACCCATGACTCCGCCAGGGATCATGAATTCATTATCTAATACATGCACAGCGAAAAATTCAACGTCTATTTCAAACCTTTTTTGGGAAAAACAATGAAAAATTGAAATGTACTCAGTAACTACGTGCACTCGTATGCGGTAAACAGTGAGTCACACCAATTATGTAAGGGCTAATGACACTACCTGACTAGTTAGACTTCAGTAAGTGGAGGAGGGTTCGAACCTGTGACCCACCAATTGCAAATAAACCACCTAGACCAGTGAATTCCAGCTCCGAATATTTTGTAAGTTTAACTTAAGCTAAGACTGAAATCATAAGAGGCGACATGATCATTGAAATGAATCCAAACAATATGCTATCACTTTGATGCAGCTACAAATAACAAATTGTTCATGGGGTAAATTCGGTGAATTATTACTACTGAATGCTGTATTAAATAAATCAAAATAAAACTATAGTGCAGAGCCTAATCTGAAATGATACTTCAGATTAGTTGATCTTAAGTCGGTGAATTTTTATAGCTTCATTAATTAGTCAGTCATTATCAGAAGACCTCACATTAATGCGTAAATGTCCGATTTTCTACACAGAACATCACGCCGAGATTTAGGTAAACAAAAAAACGCAAATTACGTAACCTACAGTTGTGGAAAACTAAGAGAAAAGGAGGGGGGTATTTCAGACAATGAGGTGTGAAAGGTTAAGATAAGATATGGATGCATTTGCACAACTACGTTGAGCTCTGAGGCACATTACTTAGAGTATCCAGAAACCAGTCTCAGCTGTTTCGTGGACCTTAACCAAGCAAAATTTATTACCTTATGCTTCTCAAACTGTGTGCGAAACTTCGTGGACTGGCGCCACGTCTTGGTTTATCCATCCTGATAGAACTGACACGTGCGATAAGATCTATGAGCACGCACGTACATACATGTTCAGTGTGAAATTCCCACATATGACACAACATACTATTTGTTTGTCATCTTTCTCAACAACTTGACGCCATAGGATCGTCCATGAAGCAGTATATATATATATATATATATATATATATATATATATATATATATATATATATATATAATATTGCGCATATATGTCCTCATACTACGAACTTCAGCTTGCAAATACTTTGACAATACTACCGACACTTAGTAGCGAAATGTTAGTAAAATCAGCCTTCTTTCGCTTTTCATTCATTAGGAAATAGTTACTATACTAATGAGAATTAGAAATGATTTTTTTTTCAATAGTTCGACAAATATACCAGTTGAATTCGCTAAAAGGTAGTTGATAACCAAATGCCTAGGCAAGGTTGTGAAGGCCTGAATAACTGCTCTTTTTTCATGACCGACGGTTTAAACTTACTAGGCAATATATCAAACAACAGCGACAACGGTTCTGAAATTATTTATATCTGCCAGTGATAACAATCTGAGCGAAGTAAAAAACGCATCAAATCTGCTGATTTTGTCAAAGCTAAGGTTCTGAATCGTTTGTGTAACAACTCGTTTCTCTAGCACTATTGATTATAAGCTCTAAACACACTCAAGGATAGTACTAAGGACCAGGTAGTATTTCACCAACGAAAAACAAGAATTTACAGTTAGTCAAGACACCTTCACCCATTATCGCAAAACTCTGAATTTTTAGTTAGGGAATGATGTTGGTATATCATGACGTAGAACAATGGTTCTCTGTGGTAATAAAAGGCTGATTATAAACAGCCCGTTCGCGGAAAGTTATTCTACAGATAAATTCATATGTCGTTTATCGTATTCGAGTAGTTGAGAGTAAATTCTATTGCGTCAACGAATTACATTAGTTATATACATTTTCGCAACTAGCGACGGAGTCCAGATCGTGCGTTACGTTCTATTTGGGACTCATCAGCTGGATGCACCCGCATCCCAGTGGGTGACGTTGCTTCTACTAACACTCGAACCCAATGCCCATCTGTCAACAGAGGTAGAGCAATCTGGCCCTATATAGTAACGGCAAATGAAAAGTATCAAACCAACAACCGAAACAGGTTGCATGAGATGTGGCTATCGTGCCCCAGTATCCAGGGGATAACACGCGTTTGAAAAGATGACTACTGGCTTCAAGTCTCAGCGGGGACAACATCACCCACTGAGGTGCAGGTGAGTCTAGTTGACGAGTCCCAAACAGAAAGAAATGAAATGTTCGCTGCTAATCACCAAGATGAATATAACTTCATGAGGATCCAGCAGTATCAAACCATCCAGCGGTCTATCTGAAAACATAGGTCCAGTAATTCGGCCAGATAGAGCAACAGAAAATGACAGGTATCAAAGCAAAATACATTTGTCATTCACTAAGAAGTTTTTCGAAGAAAAACAATAAGCCCACGTTGTCCTTCAATCCCTTACCTTGAGCATAGGTCAAACAGGGGACCATTAATTGTGCCTGCTTAGTCTCCGCGCACAACTTCAACATCCAATATCTTCCCGCCCGTTCGTGTACACCAACTGATTTTTGCGCTGGTTTATAGATCTAGCAGAACGGTCTCAGGTATTTGAGGGATTCCGTCGCACTATGTCTACTCACTCACTTGTTATAGCTCCCGTACGCCCCCCCCCCCGGGCGGTTGGGTGTCCAAAATCAAATAGCGATGGTGTGGGCGTAGGAAACTGTTCCAACATGTCTGATTCTTGGGATTCGGCTGTAGTTGTTCGGTTCTCCCCTTCAGTGCGCAAGGAAATATCTTCTGCCTTCACACTATTACCTACGGTTAGATGGATGTATTTTATGGAGATTGCATGAAATTATTTATAGAACATTTGACTTAAAAACAATATCTCCTTTTATTTATTCTTTCAAAGATTTTATACACTTCTCCTAATGCCTGTCAAAAGGAATGTTGCTAATCTGTGCAACCTGAATTGGGATTTTGGTTGTGACTCTATCGCTGTAGTTCTGTTTTTCAAAACCTGAATATGTTTGTGTATCACTGTATCTGTTTCAGTTAGTTATAGTAAACTTGATAGTTTGCTTAGCTTGACATCCCTTTGGAACAACCACATTTTGTGGGTTTTGATGATACTAATCATGTCTCCATTACAGAAGCTATTTCGGGAATACTGTAAGGAATTTTCAGCATGTTGGACAGAAATAGTGTATATGTACACATAATAAAATGAAATAAATATGAATTACATATAAAAGATTGGATTAGTTACTCTACCTACAACTTTCTTGAAAATGCAGAGTTAACTTAGATGAAGAACCACATTAGCTGTTGGATTCATGATACGTAAATAACTGCGATCCCCGCACTCATTAATTAGTTTGCTCTCAAAAACGGAGCCCGACTACTCAGTTTATTTGTACTGCCTTCTTCATTGAGCACGAGACGGGTTAAATACGTTATTACGGAGTTTCCTGATTTAGTAATACGTGCATAAAGTCTTATATACTTGCGCCGGGTCTTCAGTGTGACTGACAGGCAGAGGGCTTTGGGTTAGGAGGATGCTGAGCATTTGGGAAACTTGCTCCTGCCGGATATTTATATGAGTTATTATATTTGTCCACAGCTGTTTTAATTAGATTTTGAGATACACCACTAGTTCTGCTGACAACCTTCAAAGTTCAACGCAATATAGGATATTTCTCCAGCAACTCCGGAAAGAATGACCAGGAATAATAGAGGAGAGCAGAAAAAATGCAGGGGTTTCTTAAACAAAAGGGGAGGCCGAGTTGTACTAGGTACTGGTGGCTCCCTGATACAGAAAGTTGCCCGACATGTTATTTTCGAAACTATGAGATATAAGACGACCAGGAAGGGTCCAAAGACAAACTTGACGAGATGAATCCCGCTTATGACATTCTTCGATGCACAACCACCTACGAACGGGAATCATGAGACGTAGGCAGTTTACATAGGTGACGTTCACATCTGAAACTAAAATTTACCGTCCGACATTTTGAAGAATTAAGAGTAATACCATTCACAGAGGAGCACCAACTAGGAGTGGATAGAAAATCATTCCGTTTCTGTAAAGTCTGTTAAAGAGAGGGCAGATGTAAAAACTGTCAGTTCATCAGTATATTTGACGAAATTGATACCAGCTAAAGACTCCAAGCCATGCAGCAAGAAACAGAGAAGACAGAGGGAAAGAACGCTGCCTTTGGGAACACCAGTCACAGTAAGCAATGAGATGAGGCCTTTCCCTTTTTGAGCAGTATATCGCTTCCTTCCAGAGAAATAGGAATGCAGCCGACCTAATATCCACAACTCAACATTTGTCTCCTCTGGCTTGTCCAGAAAAAGAGATCTCGTGACAAAATCATAGGCAGAAGTGTAGTTTGAAAGGGTATGCCTGACATATAGGGCACTTCTATCAGGATCGTAAGGAATATTCCGATGTTAATGCGAAGACAATAGTTCCACTTGTACAACCCGTAAATGTCTGAGTACTTATCCTCCTGGGGTGTTTCAATATATAAACTTGCGGCGCTTATATCTTCTAGTGACAGTATAGTCGGAGATTGGGATTACATGTGATAAAGATATATGTAATTTATATAGTAACTTATTCATATCTGTAAAGATGGTGTGCGCCCGTATATTCAGGAACAAACATTACTATTATTACGTTATTATTATGTGAGGCATTGGTGGCATCCAGAGCGCTACTTTTGCTTTTATAGGCACAGTGATTAGGATCTCCAAGAACCTTTAATGAGAGTTCGAGCACAGGTATTAACAGCCTCTTCACTATTTTCAAGAACGGACAGATAACCGCAAACGCTTGGGATTTTGGACATGCACTAAGAGTAACCAACTTAGGTACGAGGACTATCTTAATGTCTTCCCAGACAGCTGGAATGGCGTTTCGTGAAAATGATCTATTAAATGTGATAGTTCGCAGACGGCATAAAGTATCAGCACACTTTGTGTATATGAAGCTTCGCACACCTTCTGTACCTGAACTATGTGGGGGGGGGGGTTCAGAGATTTGAGGCATCCAAAAACACCTTTCCAGATGAATTTTGGGAATTTATTCGTGGAAAATGGGTGGAAAGACTGGGCTGGGACAGTTAGGCTGGGGTACAGGCGATTTGTTCAGAGCACGGACGCAAACAGCTGCTTCTTCACCAAGGCAATGGCCTCCAGAGACGTCTTTAAAAGGTTTCCACATGCGGGAAGAGCCTTTGCCAGATACAAGTTTCCGATAATATGACAGACAGACGTTTAATTTCCAACCTATTTAAAAAGTCCAACCAATCAGCGCTAAAAATTACTCTTACTTTTCGCTTTTAAGACCCTTAAGCTCAAGAGATATGAGATCGAAGAGTAGAAAATATTTTTCACTGGGGAAGTAGGTATCCGGACAGGATGTTGCATCGTGCGTATCATCGTTCAAAACATCACCGTTAAATATATTCCAGTCGACATAGAAATGCACTAGTGGGTATGGATGGACGTAGCTACACCACCGCTTTTAGCAGAGCTGGATAGTTCCAGACGGAAAATATTAAAACCATTAAAAGAAATCAAATTATCATGGTAAAGATTATGTAACCAGGTTTCTTGCAACGTAGTTACTTCGGCTCTACGGTCACTTTGGAGGGCAGAAGAGAATTCCCAGACCCTCCGAGCGAGGACCTTCAGTTCGTATCCATAATTTGGTGATCATAATTTGCATTTTTTGATAGTCAGGGAACTATGGGTTGCCGGGGGCATTAAGCGTCTTTCGTAACTCCTGCCTGTATCGGTTACAGAACAGGAACTTCAGAATACTGAGAAGTGGTATATCTGGCCACGCCCATTCCATTAGAACCAACTGAATAGCCGTGATGTTTGCGATTTCACGCAACACTTCACAGTTTATCACCACTCCGATACCTCATGTTGAGAGGAGCACCTACGAGTGCCTTCACAGTATTCCGAGAGGTTATGATGTCGGAAGTACAGTTTTTTCTGTTCCCGACCGGCTTCGAAAGTAATAATCTTGATAGCGACTTGGTCATCGCGGGCTATGAGCGACGTCAAAATCAGTACAGATACTATGTGACTGTTCAGCGAGGACAAGGAAAACAGAGTCAGACAAGGTGGTAGTATTCACGCTTGACCGTTTTAAGTGTGAACGAGCTACTAAAACTGTGCTGTCGAAGCTCTCAGACTTCATCTGGTGCCACCGGATCGGTGAACACATTGAATACTTGGTGAAGGATATCTGCCCCACCCCTTACCATCAGAATGTAACAGGATCGACGTCTCCAGGTAATATCCTCCTTGGCGACTATGGAGTGTGACCAGATCATCACGGCAATGAGATTTGATGCCCTACATCTGAACCTTGGGCAGGATACGGCAACCTCAGGTAGAATGTTCAGCTGGGGCATAATCACCACCATCCGAGAGGCTGAGCCGAAAGGAAATATCGACAACGACGTTCGTTGTAGGACGCGGATTAAAGCATCCCAGTTGGACTGTCTGTTTACCATTATCCACCCGGTATCAGAAAGCACTATGATTCAAACCTCACCCGTCAGCCTAGACGACGGTATAGTAGTGTTTGATATGATAACCAGCGAACGGTGATAATGGGGGATTACACTGCTGTAGCTGCTAAATCAAGTCAGGCTGTGTGGCAATGAACCAACATCCGTCGACAGCATCATGACCCCCAAGAATGGGGTACGTGATCGACTAACTACCACTGGGACCATTGCTGGACATCATCGGGAGGACTATCCCTGAGAACATCTAAGTAGTTACAATGACACCTACAAATTGCGTCTGATGGCCCAAATGAGGTAGTAGGCGTCTCTTGAAAGCCAATAAAAAGTGTGGTCGGGTGGAAGACCTCCGGAAAAGCGTCAGATCATAGTGTGTGCATATCTCTAGGGGATCGAAGCGGTATCAAAGTGAGGTGGGGTTGGAAGGAGTTCCAGACAGACCGTGACCAGGAGCTTGAGGTGAATCCTGAGAACCAATATCAATTCATGGTTGAGAAAAAATCTACTGATCCCGGAACACGAGTTATGGAAATTCCAAACAGCTAGGATCAATATGGGCCGAAGACTACCTAGACTTTTGCACCACTTTTGACACAACTGAACTTTCCACCACCCAGCCGAAATCACCAGCTGCCTGGACAACTTTCAATACAACCCGGTGTGAAAACCTAGCGCAGTCCTGTAAAAGCTCTGAGCAGGAAAATCAGTGGGATGTGACGACATTCGGCCGTCTGTGTTGAAACGATGTGTGGTTGCTTCATGTGGCTTGCTCCGCAATCTGCTTCAACACTGCTTAGATCAACTCGTGTTCCCATGGTAGCGGAAACTTGCCATTTTCTCTCTCATCTTCAAAGGAGGAGGCAAGCAGAACCCGAAATGCCACCACTCTGCAGCACCTCCATTGGTGCCTTCAGAAGCGGTGGGGAGCCTTGTGGGCCAGCACGTCGGAGAATACTTGAATAAAGAAGAAGCACTGAGTTATACTCAAAGAGAGGGTCCCGTGCCACCGACCTTCTAGCAGCCGGTGTTAACTGGAAGGCGTTCTGTGACCTTCAAGTCCCAATCCGTGTGATCTTCCCGGATTTTTGTGAGACCCATGACGCTGTCTCCACGCCGTTCTCAAACGC